AAAAAAAAAAGAGTAAGGTTAGATTTACTGTCCCTCCGAAACTGACTCAGCACACTCCCATCGTTCCAACCCCTGCAGCCATTGTACTGCTGCAGATGGTGAGATACGCTGGTCACATCACACACAGATCCCACAAGCTATAGCATCTTACAACAGATTTTTAAATTGTGAGCAGAAAACTCTGAAGATGTTAATTCAAACTTAGGTTTCCTATTTCTTCACTTAAATAGTACATAGGGCACTAGCTCTGGGGTGGGCTTTTGGGAGATACCAGTAAATGAGACAGGGTCCCAGTCCTCAAATACATCGTTGTTCAAAGGAAACACACAGCAAAACGCACAAGCAAGCAAACAAACAAAAGTCCCTGTGATGACCCAAGCACCGGGGAGTCGTGAGAGCCTGACAGTCAAGGTCAAGGGAGAAAAATGAGAGATATAGGAACCAACTGGCCAACCTCTTCCTCCATAACTTTCTTTTCTTTTTTTGAAACAGAATCTCGCTGTCACCCTGGGTAGAGCACCATGGCATCATAGCTCACAGCAACCTCAAACTCCTAGGCTCCAGCGACCCTCTTGCCTCAGTCTCTCAAGTATTACAGGTGCCCCCCAGCTATTTTTAGAGAAAGGTTCTCGCTCTTGCTCAGGCTGGTCTCAAACTCCTGAGCTCAGGTGATCCACCCCATCTGCCTCCACCTCCCAGTGTGCTGGGATTACAGGTATAAGCCACCGCATCCAGCCTTTCCTCCATAACTTTCAAAGAGCAGTGTGGATTTAGACTTAAACTCAAAAAGCCACATCATGTTACCACAGTGTGCCAGGTGCTGTATTTAGGTACTTCACTCATACGATCTAGTTTAATTCTTTCAGTGGCAGATGATTCATTGAGATGAAGACAGGATGAAGAAAACCCTCTAGCAAGCGAGAGAGCTCTGCAGCGCACGACCTTCTCCTCATCAGTTACGGGAAACTTTCTATAACGTGACTGTTTAAAGGCCCAGAGACCCCCCATGGCGTCCCTTCTCCTCTTCCTCCTTCCGTTGGGACTCAATAGTCTCTAACACAAACAGCGCAACAATGGCTAACAGTTAACGCTACAAAACCATTCACACTGTCTCCGGGGGATCTAAGGGATTTTTCCAAGGATCATTTTGTTATATATAGTTTTTATCTTAAGCACTGACTCGGAGCCCAACTTGTACACGATGGTGTCTCCACTGCTTCCGGCACGGTGATGCGTGCTCAGAGGACACTGTGTCCAACCCCACAGTAGGCCTGAAGGGGCCCGTCATGGAAGGCTTCACCAAGGTGGTGATTTTCCATAATGCATGAATCCAGAAAGAAAATTCCAGGTAGAGTGGTCAGGACTAGCAAATTCTGGGAGGTGACAGAGCATCACTAGTCTGGAGTTGAAAGATTAGAGGGAAAGTTTTGGCAGAGGTGATGCCAGCACAGGGGCAGGTGGCCATGCTCTGCTTTTGAACACCACTGAGTTGCCTGCCTGTTAGCTTGGAGATCCCTACACCTGTGTGTTTTTAACAGGAGTGAGTTGGCCCCCAGAGGACATTTGGCAATGTCTAGAGACATTGTGGTTGTCACAGTTGAGGTAGGGTTAGACACTGCTAAACATCCCACAGTGGCCAGGACGGCGGCCCCAACCAAGAATTAGCCGCCTAGATAGTGCCCAGGTTGAAAAAGTCTCCTCCAGAGCCTTGCTGCCTGTTTTCATGGCGTTGTGGACTAAAGGAAAAGAGAATTTAATCTTTGTGTGCTGAAATACGGATGTCTCAGGACAAATATTTGTTTGGAATTCCTCTTCCTTTCGAGCTAGGGGTTGGCAGAGGGGGGAGGTAAGGGAAAGAGCGACTTTAGAGAGAAATATTAACCTTGCAAATGTGCACATTTTCAATTCACATCCTCGTGACAAGCTACAACTTGTAATCAGTATAGAATGATTTTCCGGGAGAGTAAATGCTTATTTTCACTGTCTTCACGTTGGCACTGTATTACTTGGTATTAATCCCAGGGTGACACCGTCACATTGGGAAGCCGGAAGATTTATTTGGATGTCTGGTGGGGCCAGGGGCAGGCTTCATTTTACATCCTTGATCTTGGAGAATTTAAATAATAGAGCTGCTTTTCCCTATACACTAGAGGTGTGAAAAGGAAGTTATCTCCCCAGCGCAAATGCCAAGAGCCAGTGCAAAGGCTGGTGAGGAAGAAGAGAGGATGGCGATGCCAGCATGTTTATTCCAACCCAAATAAATTATTAGCAGTGGCAACAGCTACTAATACAGCAAACAACACAGTTAAACACCAACTGTGTACCTGCTCGCTGAGCACAAGAGAGCAAGAATCTGAGAGCTTGTATGCCCTCCCTCCCCTCCATCCCATCACTTCCACTCTGAGGCTATGCTTGAGATAATTGCTCTTTTTTTTTTTTGAGACAGAGCCTCAAGCTGAGCCCTGGGTAGAGTGCCATGGCTTCACTGCTCATAGCAACCTCCAACTCCTGGGCTCAATCAAGTCTCCTGCCTCTGTCTCCCAAGTAGCTGGACCACAGGCGCCCGCCACAACGCCCAGCTATTTTTTTGGTTGCAGCCATCATTGTTGTTTGGCAGGCCCTGGCTGGATTCGAACCCGCCACCTTAGGTGTATGTGGCTGG